CAACGAAAAATCTCTTTAAAATAAAAGGTACCGACTGTAAGTTAGTGTTATAACCTCCTAAATTTGCCCTCACCCGATTGCATTGCCTAGACTGTTAGTTCTCTAGATTATGTGGACGTACTTATGCTAAAAGGAACAACTCGTATGTTGATCATCGCAAATCCTACGCACATAGTTCCTCTGAGCATGAATACGTCCACATCGTCTCCATATTCATATTACCTATTGATAATCCATGGATTGTCAAGCCACTTTGAAATAATCTACATAATCTTGATGGTAATATCCGCGAAAAAGTTATGCAACTATCGCAGTCAGTCATCATGTACTGGTCATTAAAATTCGAATAGGTTCGGACAATTGTCGAGGTCTAATGAGAAGAAAATTGACACCCACCAGATTCACCGGATGTGCCTCGGATCAGCCCACAAAACCTTCGCGCGGAAACGTTTAATTTTCCGCTAATCCGAAAAGTGATTGAAAACTCAATCGTCGTATTCTGCAGACAAACGAGTTTTTTTTTGTTTTTTGCTTTTGTTTTGACCCTTGTTTGCCATACCACTTATAAAACCTTAGGGTATTTTGTTCGAATTGAATCGAGATGAAACGCAAACCTTTTTAAAATCATTGACCCGCCTGCATTATTTCTGTCATCTGCACACCAATGTAACTCGTTCTCAATTTTCAGCGAATAGGAGTAAATCCGTTTTGCAGAGTAACTCTAAGATCTGCTTCATAGGTGTAGCTAAATGTTCTTGCTGAGCACTGAGAAAACTGTTCCTGCGTTAAATTAACCGCCACAGAAGACCTCGTTGAATCGACCGGAAATCTCCTTGCAATGACCGGACGTCTCTTAGCATAGGGGCCGTGGCCGTTCAGATCCTGATGACATCGTCACGTATCTAACAGCGCAAGTTTCAGATTCTCTGCACTGAAAAGCTAGTCGACGCGTTGCGTTGAAGTCGGAAGTTTTCCAACGCCCACTCTCGTGCAAGAAGGCTTCTTCTGGGTGCAGAATCGGTGGCCTGTGGTTGTAATGCGGCACGATAGTGCGCGCACCGTGGCAAGCGCTTTGACGTAACGGCGTATCACAGTTCAGATGTGAGCCTTATGCTCCATCTAACTATATGCTTTCCGGAGCTCGTGTGGAAATAAAGATACGTCTTTACATCAGAGGAGCGACGATATGCGTTCACGTACATTATGCAATGCCTTGAAATATTTTATTCGGTGGTTACCCACCGCGTTGTCTAATTTTGACAGAGAACACGAACGTTGGTCGCCATACTTTTTTCTTTCGTTCTTGAGATTCCCTTGTAAAACAATATCACAAAGATGGATGATTTTTAGGTTCTTTAATTCCTTCTTTACTACGTAATCCGACGACAATAATACTTGAATCTTACATCGAGAAAAATTTTCCAGTTACGAGATTTTTCGTTGAGTCAACAGAAAACAGCATAGCGATAGATAAAAACAAACACGCAGACAGAGTAATAGCAACTTGATGAAGAGGTATAACGTTTTGTAAAAATCTTTGAGACTGCTGAATTTTTAGTTTTTTTTTTAACAATTTCTCAGCACTGGTGGTGAATCTTACCTTGCATTTGCTTTATTTTTAGCCGTTCAGTGTTCCAATCTCCGAAAAAATATCGTGGCCACTTCTGAAACCGGAAATGTCTGCGCGTGGTTCTGAAATAAATTATTACCTCATCATCAGAACTAGGCACAGAAAAATGTCATAAGTTTTGAGTGTCACAGTATGATCATGACCATGCAGCCGCCATGCGGTGGGTCGAGTTTATGAAAGAGGTCGGACAACATTTTGAAACTTTAAAGGCTTATAACTCCGTTAATAAAACATGTTGGGGCTCTAGAAGTGGTACCATTGGTTTCTTCGTGATATTTTCTTGAGGAAGGACCCCTTGAAATTTAGGATGTTACGAATCAAACGTCAAAATTTGCAGCTTTAGTTAAAAATTTCATGTCCGGCTTCTCTAATTGACTGGATCCACTGTGCGCCATCTTACCGTCCGGTCAACAGGAAATTACTTTTTGAGAAACTCAGGCATACGTCCAAACAGACAACCAATCGCGCACTGATCGTGACTTGAACCCTGTCATTCATGTATTCATATGGATCTCAAGGTTCATGTAAGAATGAATATAGTTCCTTTTGATTTTAATACGTCCACTTGCGCCCAGTCCTATGATTATTTCCGTCGGAGCCATTGCAAATACGACGCATTGAATCTATTGTTGCTACAATGTGCCATCTAAAACACTATCCATCCCATGATTCGCACGGGAAATGATTACAACTCTCCTTATTCTGTCAACGTGTTCGAAAAACGGCCTTGATTGTTTTGTGGGCAGAGCTGAACGATAATACATTCCGGAAAGATCCTACTCTGCATTGTAATTGTTGCGATTCCGGGGACCAGAGGCCGGCAGAAACCTGCAACATTTTAACAGGTACAAGTGAACCTGTTTAGAAAGTCAACATTGAAAATCCAACCCTCCCGTTTCCATTTCTAGCAAGACGTTTTCTTTGTTCATCCCCTGCCATTCTAAAATACAAGATGTTGAACACATCTCCCTGGTGCCTTTTCTTCTTTAGATGCTTGAAGTCAATCAATTTCTTGTACCATGTATCTATTATTGAAATTTTGTGAACATTGAAAGAGTTTTAAAGGTCAAATATTAACGATAAAAGTTACGAGTAAAATATATATTTTTCTTTTCTTTTGAAAGAAAAGTTGAACTTAATTTCCTTGGTATTTTACAAAAATCGGAAGAAAAATAATATGTAATTATTCAGAAACTCTTTTGCTTTGCTACATGTTTTTCAGTCGTATATTTTTTGCGCTTAGCCTAGTTAAAGCTAAAAGAAATTTCAGGGGTGAAACTAAAAAGATAATTTACCTTCCACTTGAAAAATATAATGGCAAGAATGCATTTTTGACCCACTGCCAAATAATAGAAAGTGAAATCCAAAAAAGGATTTGCGTCATTTTGAAGGGTGATTGACTAAAAATGTTAGATTCTAAAAGAATCCGTAATAGGTTTTCTTTGGTTCCCGGTCTGAGCGAGGATGTAGGTTTTCGCAGTTTGGGCTGGCTCATTTTTTGCCATCAAACAAAGTTCATAAATTGTAGAATTAATTATGTTAACGTGCTCAAGGTATGACGAAGAGTTTCCGACTAGGAGTGTTTGTGCTTCGTGGGAAGATGAATTATTCAATTGGTTCCGCAACGTTGCCATGTAGAGTAAATAAAACACAGTAATTACTTTTTTTGCTGCGCAAAGATTGTTTGTTTTCCCGATCACTTTGCTTAAATAATGTGAAAAAAGACTGATCAAAATTGTGATAAATATGAAAAGAAAGTGATAATCTGATGAAAATTCTCAGTGCAGTAAGACGGAACTTGAAGCTGTTATTTAGAATTTGCACGCCTGAAGGGTAAACTTTTGTATTATTTTAAATTTTAATAGATCAAAGTCGTTGCCGATTAAAATTAATTTTAATTAATAATTTTTGTGTATGCTCGACCTCTAACAATTTTAGAGAATCCTATTCCTGATTCAACCTGTTAGGTCTACACTCTTCGAAGGAAGTATACTCAGCTTCTCACGGAAAAAATGGATTGCTGATTTAACAATTAAATTGTTAAAAAAGACGTCCGACATGTTTCTAATGTAAAATTTACAATGGTTAACAGCTAAGTTAACCACGGGGGTGGTTAATGTAGCATTTTTTTATTGTTAAATGTACTTGTAACATATCGGGCACTCTATTCAACTACAAAATGGACCACTAGATAAGGTACGAATTTCAGCATTCTGATACATGTTTCTTAACCAAAATTTTACGTAAAACACGATGCACACAACGAAAATTACCGAAATTAACTCCTTACGAAGATATTTAATGATTCTTGATGCGTGAATTCAAAGCACTCGCTCATGTAAACTCAATGCTCTACGTGATTCACATCGCGCGCTAAACGTTATCATGACAGTCTCTGCTATATTAAAATCTGGCAACCTCAATTTTGACGCTTTGGCTCAGCTATAGCAAATTGCTTATAGTTTGAACAACAGATGGTGGGAAATGAACATTGCTCGATTGAGAAGATTGCTGAAACCGTTGTAGTGCACGGTTTGACTCACGTAGAGCTTTGAGTTTCTTGTGAGCGGGCAGTTCAAATTCCTCGTAACCAATGAGAAGTAAAAACGTTAATATATCTTCGTCAGGAGTTCGTTTCAGTAATATTCGTTGCGTTAATCGTGTTCTGCGTGAAATTCTGGTTAAGAAACATGTATCAGATTGCTTAAATTCGCACCTTGTCTAGTGGTTCATTGTGAAATAGTATTATTATTTTTTTTCAAGCTCTTAAATAAATATTTTATCAGAGAAAGTCGTGCAACCCTCATATGTTCAAATGATGTTTTTCCTTAGTATGGCGCAACAGTGCGGCTCTGAAACCCGAAAAATATGGCCTCAGAACACTGGACGTGAATGGTGTCTTGTTAGCCCGTGAAGTTACGGTGCTGAGGCATGCGGATCACTTTTTCAATGTATCTTGAGTTGAAGAGCACAAATGCGATAAATAAATGTGTCGCAACAGATCAGTAATGATGGAAAGACCATCATGAAGTCTGTTTTGCTGATCTGAAAAGTTACTCAGACCGCGATTGCTAATGAAATTCTCTTTAAATTGATGTTTGCGGTTATTCGCTTATTCTCATTGGCCAACCCTTCGCAGTTCTTCTTAAGAGCACAGCTGCATAGGTATGCAATTTTAATAACCTTGCCACACCATAAGTTCTCTTGAAATATACTAGAGAAAAATCGAGATTATCCCTAGTCCTCTGATAAATACCTGCTTTTATTCAAAACGTATGTCGAAATTATTTTAAAAGGCTGCATTTCTATCTTTTTCAAGATTTATCATACGTTCTGGATGATTTATTTTATTTTTTAATTTTGTTCATAGGGAGCGCGGCGGTCGACAGAATGCCGGCCGGGGTTGAGAACAGCACTAGTAATCAGCATTTAGTAGAGGTCTCAACGAAAGCCACTTGGTAAGTTTATTTGAAACATACATGTATTGCACTCTTAAAAATCAACAAAATCGATCGGACGAGTAATTAATCCTTACCCACTCGACTTGGTGGTTTTTTCACTGCAATGTTGGTTGGATGGTGGGCAAGAAATGCAAAAGCACTTCAATTAAAGTCCCAAATTTAGCAATAAATAGTAACGACCCACCGTATACAAATTTTGCTACCTTTATTTTGTCGCTCCTCTGATGCGAAGGCATCTATAATGAAAAAAAAGTTCGGTAAATCCAAACTACTTAGGATCATATAGAACCACGATTTTGTTCGGTACACACGACCGAATTATTCGGTCTGCTCAGCTGAACTGTTCGGTCCATTGAACCGAGCTGTAAGAATTTATCATGGTTCGGTCGCACAAACCGAACAATTTGGTTGAACAGACCGAATAATTCGGTTGTGTGTACCGAACAAAATCTGGTTCCATATGATTCTAACGAGTTCGGATTTACCGAACTTTTTATTTCAGTGTATGTTCCACGTGAACCTTATTTGGATTATATTTTGCAATAAGGAACCTCTATCTCAGGCTCTCCCATAAAAGCACATATCTGCACAAGGAAACCAATGTCATGTATGTTGCTTCTAAAATGGGCCAAAAGTAGTGGTTCCTTAGTGCAAAATGTAATCCATGTTATATGCAAATCCCTGCTTGCTGGGACTCATGCGGAAATCGAGATAAGTCCTTACGTCAGCAGATCAACGTTTTGTCAAGCTAATGATATGGAAGACGAAAAATAACACCTCTTCATAGATACACTTTAAATCCATAGCTACTCCGAAAATCAATTTTGTTCACCAAGTTACCATTTCTTGACGATAGAGCTGCCCATTACCATCTGCGCGATGGAACGCACCGCTCATGAATATTCGAGGAATTAACCCACATTGAATCAATTTGAAATTAAAAATTTCCAACGAAATATGTTGTGACATCCGATCGCGATCGCAGCCCGGGAAATTAGAGCGCACCCAAGTTGTCGACAAACTGGTTGAGAGTCAGAGCTAAAATTCTAGTCAAAAGAGATCGTCACCATCCGGCCAAAGTATCGCAAGTGCCATGTGACGTCTCAAAATTTCCGCCGCCATTTTAATTTTTACAAAGAAACTGCCCAACAAAGCTGTCCTAAAATTACATTACATTCTCTTTGTGCTGCCGATAAAATTCAGTGAAATTTTCAAACAGAATCAACTAACAATTTTTCTGTAGAAAAATAAAATGGCGGCGAAAGATTTGAAACATCGCATGGCGCTTGTGATACTTTGGCCGGAAGGTGACGAGGTGTTTTCTCTCATATAATTTTCTCCGCAGATAAGAAATTTTGAAGTATATCTAAAAGTGTGGCACTTCGGAAATTGCACAGTGACCACCCCACTTTCCATTCTCATTTGTAGATCAGAGTAGACATTCATACGAGTTAGCAAGTCTATTGAAAGAAATCTTTTCTCAGAGAGAAAATCCTAACCTACTGATTTCGTACATCTATACGGTCTATTTTGCAATAAAGAGCCACTGTCTCTGGCTCTTCTGTAAAAGCACGTTCCTGGATAGGAAAACCAATCGCATATGTGTTGTTTCTAAAATGAGCCAGAAATAATGCAATCCTTATTGCAAAATGAGGACCAATTATCCATGAATTGGAGTATATTTTGCAACAAGGAGCCACTATCTCTGGCTCATCTGTAAAAAAACCTTTCTGAATAGGGAAACCAATTGCATATGTGGTGCTTCTAAAATGAGCCAGAAACAATGATTTCTTATTGCAAAATGAGCATTACCTCTCTGTTGGATGAACCACACTGGGGTATTGCGGTAGCCTTGTCCGTTCCAGGATAATCTTCATTCTCGAGTGCTCCATTTCCCTTCATTCTCATTTTTCCGCTCCCTCTAACCTTAGATTTTTAAATAGCGTGAGATTGCGCTCTTTCAGTAGCGCGAGGTGGGCATTGGGGGGACGGGGGGCGGCGGAGGGGAGAAGGCAGGGCGCAGTCTAGGCGGAATCGTATTCGTTCAAAATTCGACACAGCTGAATGAAATTTGGTCTTGACCTTGGGCACGCTTTCTTGGGACGCCGCGAGATGACTTCGCAAAAGGGAATGCAAATGAATGGATAGCCGGGTTGCCAAAGTCTCCGGTTGAGTCTATCAATCTAACGTATAATGTTCGGTTAAATGTAATATCCCTCCTCTACTTGGAAACTACGTCCGTGGACGTCGTCAGTTTAGCGTTTAAATCGATCGTTTTTCAGTCGGTGCTTATGGCGCCTTTCAGAATATTGACCGAAAAGTGGCGACAAAACGGTACCTGACGACAAAGAACTCGTCCGTTGCACTGAGAAAGAAATATGATTGGGGACGAAACGTGAGTTCACATACAATTCTTTAACTTGTGTGAGAGGAGACGTTGAACCTGGTGGGAAAGAAAACATCGCTTCTGCACGATTTTGAGCTGAACTCATTTTTTTGATGTAACGATTTCGATTGGTAGCTTCTACTTTTCGGTGTTTAGAAAGAGAACCTTTTGATGCACCTTTCAATACCTTGTGCAAAAAGGTGCATTATGATAACATAAGCAACGCATTCAATGAAGTTGACTGAAACGCCTTGATACCACTATTCGTACTCTGTGCAGGAAGTGCGTGTTGCATGTAAAATAACGGAAGGCGCTCCAGTCCCTCTAATCCATGAGCCCTTGATAAAAATTGGCAGTAGAATCTGTGTTCCAAAATACCATAGGCCTACAGCCGGCTGTAAGATTTCCAATAGCTTCTATAGCCGGCTACACAATTTCTTATAGCCATTTATAGCCGATGGCGATTAAGCAACAGCCAGGCGATAAAGTAATGCTAAACGTCACTAATTACGGATGCTAGGACTTAGTGAGTTTTTGGAATACTGCTCTCTTTTTGAGCCGTAGTATCTTGATTAATTTTGCGAGGAAAGCTCCGTACTTTGGATGGATGCCTGCCATTGCTAATATACTAGAGCGCCTTCAGTTTCGTATGATACTGTGCAATACTTCTGGTGTAAAATAGTTGCTTCAAGCGCCGTGGCAGGCGGGCAGTCAGCGCGAAACACGCATTGGCGCCTACAAACCTAACAGGATACTTCACGCGTTGCGCAATGCGTGAAGTATCCCTGTTAGGTTTGTAGGCGCCAGTGCGTCACCGCTCCGCTTTGTGTTAGGCTTTAATATTTAATCTGGCGGAGTCAGCGTTATTTAACTCATGATTTTGAAATGTTTGCACATCCTGTATGGATTATTCTCATTTTAATTGATACACACGAATTTCTACACACTTTCTTGTAGCCTTTTACAATCGATGACGAAAAAGCAACAGCCAGGAGATAAAGTGTAAAGCCCGGCGATAAGAACTATTGCCCGGCTGCATAATTTTTTATCGCTTCGTATAGCCCGGCCGTATTATTTTCTCCGCATTCTACAGCCAGCTATATGATTTTCTCTAGCCTTCTTCAGCCGGCTATAAGAATTCCTATGGTATTTTGAAACGCAGCTCTTATCGCCATTTTTTACCAGGATAGGTACTGCACGCAGTTTTCGCGCCGGTGCGATTAAATGGCAAGATGTAATTTTCGGATGGAAACCAAAGGAAAGAACAGAAAAGGATATTGTTCTACCATTTTCACAATCAGGATGAAGAAACTTAACACCACACCCTGTGGTGACAGTGTGTTGTTGCCAGCAGTGCCCCTTGGGCTAGAATGATCGGGGCGCCCTCAATTTTAGAATGCATTACGGATGTTTAGAAAGCACGAATTGTCTCATCAAGGCGTTATTACCGATATCATTGTCCTTTGCTCGGATATCAATACTGCCGTGCTAAGAAAGAACGTCGTATGAACATTCGAGAGTTGCCAAATTTCCTTTGATAAAATATTTATTTTTAAGGAAAGATATGAATATTTTTCCTTGAAATTTTTAGGAACTTTAGGTGAAATTGTGAACAACAATATCTGGAAAATTGGAAGAAAAATATGCCTTAATTTCCCAGAAAATTTGTGTTTTATCGATTGAAAGGCTTAAACCTGCTTTGGCGGCTGCGAAGCCTAGCATGGATGGTCTGGGACACCTTATGTGAACTTTGCTACTCTGACATGACTGATTCCTCTACAGATTATTGTGACAATTTTCTTCATTTCTGAGCAACATCAACTGGTACAGTCATTTAGTGTTTTTATGCGGGTTTGAGAGCGAAACTTTGTTTCGCTCCGAAAATTAACAGACAAGTGATAGACAAGGAAGACAAAGGACAAATGGAGCGAACCTATCAAGAAAAGCGAGTGGTTGTAATGAATAGAGGAGATTAGGACATATTTAAACGCATTTATGCTATAAGGAACTATGTGCATAGGGTTTGCATGTAACATAGTTCCTTTAAGCATATATACGACCATTTATGATAAAAGGAACTATATGTTACGTGGAAGTCCTATGTTTATAGTTCCTTTTAGCATAAATGCATCCATAGACTAACTACTGGCAAACCTATCGAAGGGCGCAACTCCTATTCCTGTGGACCTCTATCGGTCTATAGTCCAGAATCTTCCCCTGAGACTGCAATAACCAACCGTTTTAATCAGAGGGGTGATTTCGTTTCCTCTATTCTTCTTATTCAAAGCAATGTCTGTCAATTTCAATTTTCAGTCTGCCGCACGGTGGATCGAGCCCAGGGGGAAGTCGGACAAAATTTGGAAACTTTAAAAGCTTATAACTCCGTTAAAACAAAATTTTATGGTTCCATCAGTGGTTATATTGGTTTTTCCATTAAATTGCCTTCCATTAACACCCCTTGAAATTTAAAATGTGACAAAATAAACATCAAAATTTGCAGTTTTAGTCAAAAATTTAATGTCCGGCCTCTCCAATTGACTCGATCCACTGCGTGCCGGGTGGATTCCGGGCTTACATGACACCGGACAGCTTCAATTACTTGAGTGTACTT